AATCTTAAAAAAAAAGTGAAGGGATTGAAAAGGGTACTTAATGAAAATGGAAGCCTAAGGAGAGCAGGTTTATCAGGCAAAATAGACTTTCAGTCAAAAACTATAACAAAAGATAAGCAAAGTCTTAATATAATGATAAAGGGGTGAATTCATTAAGAGAATTAACGATTATAAATATATATGAAGCCAACCTTGGAGCACCTAAATATGATAAGCAAATACTAACAGCTTTGAAGAAAGAAACAATAAAATAATAACAGACAAAATCCACACCCCACATTCCACAGTGGATAGATCCTCCAGACAAAAACATCAATGAGGAAAATTGGACTTGAACTATACTTTAGATCAAGTGGACCTAAGACACGTATAGAACATTCCACCCAACAGCAATTGAATGCACATTCTTCTCAAGCATATAAGGAACATTCTCCAGGATAAATTATATGCTAGGTGACAAAACAAACTGTATCAAACTTAAGAAGACTGAAATCATACCAGTGTCTTTTCTGACCACAGTTATGGCCAGAAAAACTAGTAGCCAATAACAGGAGGAAAACTGGCAAGTCCACAAATATGTGAAAATTAGTAACAGACTCCTGAAGATTCAGTGGGTCAAAGAAGAAATCAAAAAGGGGAAAAAAAAAAAACATATCTTGAAACAAATAAAAATAGAAACACAATATAAAAATTTGTGATGTGGCAAAAATAGTTCTAAAAGGAAATTTATAGCAATAAATGACTACATTAAGAAAAAGTAAAGCTATCAAATCAGCAATCTAATTTTTCACCCCAAGGAATGAGAAAAAATAACAAAGCCCAAAATAGCAAAAAGAAAGAAATACAAAGATCAGTGCAGAAATGAAACAGATAAGAAAAAAGGGCTTCCCTGGTCCCCTGCCAGGGAGCTAACCCATATGTAGCACAGCAGACCTCTCCTGTCTTGCCTGCTGCTCCCCTCAGCAGTGTATTTCAGTCAATCTGGCTGTTTTACTCCCCATTCTGTCTCTGATGAATCCTCTCACCCCCCACACCTTTGGCCTACACCCCAGTTCTTCTACACATAAGTAAATAAATCTTTAAAAAATAAAAGATCAACAAAACTAAGGGTTGTTTTTTTGAAAAGATAAATGAATCGAAAGTCTTAATTTTATGGACTTGGGTAGGAATTTTAATGGCACCTGTTTTCTTTCAAATACAAATACACCTATTTTGACAGAAACACAAAATCAACAGAGTTCAGATTATAAAGGTAATTAATGAAACAATATGTATTTCTTATGAAGGAACTTATTTTTCGAAAAAATGCATTTGAAATAAATTCTTCTGAAATCAATTCTTTGAAAGAAATGACTTTGAAAGAATAAGTATAAAGGATTTGTCCTTAAATGTAAGGAAACTGGAGGCCCCAAATTACCATCTCAACCATCATCCTTTTTACAAGTAACAGTAGTGATTACCAAAAGAGGTTTATTATTTTTCTTCTTGCATTTTATTTTTTTTCTGGAGGTGCTGGGGAGGGGTGTGTGAGCGGATTAACCAGAGACAGAGTAGGGAACAGAACAGGCAGATTGACTGAAATACACTGCTGAGGGGAGCAGCGGGCGAGTCAGGAGAGGTCTGCTGTGCCATGTGGGTTAACAAAGGCCCCTACTGAGGTTTAAAGAGAATAAGTCCAGGCTTGATTCACCATAGTCTCATTAGCTCATTCCTTAATAAGATCACCAGCCATCGCTTATAGGAAAAGGATCATAAATCAGAACATAAGAGGTTTAAAATCCAATGTGTATGGAGCTATCTGATTCTAGAGCTCTCCAGAATCGAGTATAAGAATAACCCAGTAAGCAGTCATTTATTTGACAAATATTTATCTCTATTCTGGATCCTATATTGCTATAATCCAGGTATACAAAAAGGGTGTGGGGGGAAGGGGAAGTAAAGGAAGGGGAAAGAAAGACAAAAACAGTGTTCCTTTCTTAGAGAGCTGACAATATTCCTTTTCTGAGTGAACAGGCCGTCAGTGAAAACAGACATGGCAGGGTGTTCATTGAATAGGTCTCTGAAATGGAAAGATCAAGGAAAATCCTCAATTCTAAATTGAGACCTGAAAAGTTTACAATGACGGTGATAATATCACATTGCTTATTTGAAAGATCACTGACTTAAGGGAAGATGGAACACTGAAGGGGCAATACTGAAGGGCAGGTAGGGGACTGTCGAGGGACCCAAGTGGACATGATGCAGTGGGCACCAGGGCAGTGGTGACAGGGCTGGAGGGAAGGGGTGACTTTACAAGGTGACTGAGAATTAACAGTCTTTCATACTTGCCTGGAAGAAGGAGTGGGAAGGGAGATGATATCTTAGTTTGATATCCCCCGGAAACAGACCTCAAGGCAAGCCTTCACGCGCTAGTCGTTCATTTGGGAAGAAAAGGGAATGAGGTAGGAAAGTGAAGAAGATGTGGAGAAAGAAGAGCAGCCAGGGAGAGTGCTTTGTCAAGCCAACCATGCTGTGAATATCGCTGAGAACTCCCGGGACATGGCATCAAACAAATGCCTCAGTCATCCCACCCAAAGGTTGTGGCTCTGGGACATGTACACCTATTGCGATGCATCATTGGCTGTGGGTCCAGTTCCCCAGTGTTCCCAGCCTGCTCTGCACACAGCAGGGCTGCTTTCTGTTGCTTTCTCAAAGGCCCTCAGACAAAAAGACAGACACAGACCTTTGGAAATGGGCATCCAGGGCTCATGGAGAGGTAAGGCATCTGCTACAGATGCCGCCTAGTCAGTGTGTTACAGAGCAACCCCAATAGAAAACGGGTTGCCTGACTGTGGGTCCTCACCCATGGGCTTAAAGGGGACTTAAACACCAGGCACACACAAAAGATTAATCAAAGGCTTATTTACAAGGGAAGGGGAAATGAGGAAATGAGTAACTCAGGGAGAGAAAGAGGGAGATAAATTTGTGAATGCGTCCTACCCATTCTGCTGATCTGGAATCCCAAATGACCTGCCGAGAGCTGGCTAAAAGCCCAGCACTGCGTGGCCAAAAGGCTGATCCTCACTCACATGGCTGGTTAAATATCCAAAGAGAAAACATGGCTGCTTAACTCTGCCCTCAGGTCCTCACAACCCTCCCTTTGGTGATCATAGGATTTGTAGTTCCCAGTGTCTTGATGGAGTGGGTGTGGAGTCCATAAAGCCTGTATGGAGTTTGTTCAGGACATCCCTTCCCCCTAACAAGTGGAATGGGTAAATGGGTCAGGATTGACTGAGATGGAGACAGGGAATCCGGGATGAAAGCAAAACAAAGGGGCACTGGCGGGCGGGTAGAGAGTATGAGTCTGATTTCTCATGTGTTGTATCTGTGATGCCCACGGGCCATCTAAGTGAAGCTGCCTAGTCCTTGGCTGTGTGAATAAGAGTCCTTACACAGCAATCTGATCTAAAGTTACAGACTTGGAAATTGTCAGTGTGTAGATTCCTGAGTGGCAGGCATCCCATGGGAAAATTTGTAGAGTGAGAAACAAGAATGGCGCAGGACAGAAACCAAAAACACCAATATTTTAGGGACAGGGAGAGGCAGAGAAACCAGCAAAGAAGAATGAGGAGACAAATCAGACAGTTATGAAGAAAACCAGAAGTTCTGGTTGTCCACAAGCCAAGAAGATAGCATTTCAAGAAGGAGAATTTTAAAAATGCATCACATGCTGCTGAGAGGCAAGAAAAAGAAAAGGCAAAAAAATGTTACTGGATTCTGTAACAAGCACGTCTTTATGATTTTGAAGTGGTAGGTTAAGAGATTGCATTAACTCTAAGAATGCCTGTGGGTGAGTAATTGTAGACAACAACTGGATAACTCAAGAGGTAACTGGGCATGGGGAACACTAGAGAGAAGAAAACTGACAGTATAAGTGCCTATAAAATACTATACAAATAAAGCATATTGTCATGACTTTTAAAGTGCATTAATAAATTATATTCACTGAAGGTGAATGCCAGGTTAAGGAAGGAATTTTTGGTTAGGGAAGGATCATTTGTTTATAGAAGTGGAAGAAACTTAAAATTTTAATGTGAAAGATCCAGTGAAGGGGATGGAGAGTGAAGGGCTAGAACAAAGAGTATGATGGAGAGCTCTCTAGAAGACAGATGTCTCGGGCCTTCCTGGTGGCACAAGGGGTTAAGCACCACACTATGAAGCAATCTACAGCCTCTGCAGCACAAGTTCGATCCCTGGCCGGCCCGGGAGAAACCCACATGGCGAGCAGACCTCTCCTGTCTCGCCCGCTGCTCCCCTCAGCAGTGTATTTCGTTAGTCTGCCTGTTCTGCTCCCCACTCTGTCTCTGCTGAGTCCTCTCACCCTCCCGCACATCTGGCCCAGTTCTTATATGCATAAATAAATAAATCTTAAAAAAAAGACAGAAGTCTCTAGAAGACCAGAGACCCAGGGAATACCTGTAAGACCTTAGGTGGACTTTGTTCCCTTTGTCACAGGTGGGAGAAGAGAAGAGACAGGTGCATATCAAGGCTGATTTGTAGATCCCCATAGAGCCCTGAAGTTAGGGAGTGGCCTATGTATTTTCTGTGAATTGAGAGTAGAAGACTAAGCGTGAATGAGGAGAAATTGGTGATGCCACAGGCTTACGGAGCTAACAGGTAGAAGGATTCTAGTGGTGCAAGGGGTTAAGTCTCAGCACTATGAAGCTCTCCGAAGCCTCTGTAGCATGAGTTCAATCCCTAGCCAGGGAGCTGACCCACATGGCACATCAGACCTCCCGTCTTACCCGCTGTTCCCCTCAGCAGTCCACCTGTTCTGTTCCCCACTCTGTCTCTGGTGAATCCCCTCACCCCCACATCTCTGGCCTGTACCCTGGTTCTTGTATGCATAAATGAATCTTTTTTAAAAAAGAGGGATTCTATTTTCAGGGTTTGGAGTAAGGAGAGCGCAGTCTACAAAGGAGACAGGAACATGGTATAAGCTGGTGAACGTTGATACACACCCACTAGTTTGTCAGAACAGGTAACTGAGAAACCAACAAGGTGGATGCAAACAGGACAACCTTGCAGAGACGAGATGTGGCTGGGCCAGTCCGCACACTGTCCTTCTGCTAAGAGCTGAATCATGTCCCTGAAAAAGATATGTTGAAATCTTAACTTTTATTTCCCAGGAATGTGCCCTTACTTGAAATGGCGTCTTTGCAGAGGTAATCCCGAGAAGATGTCATTTGGCTGGACCCCCATATGACTGGTGTCTTTATAAGAAAAGGAGAAGAGGCACCGACAGGGAAACACAGGGAGAACACCATGTGGCAGTGGAGGCAAAGACTGGAGGGCTGTGTCTATAAGCCAAGGGATGCCAAGGGTTGTCAGCAACACCAGAAACTCGGGAGAGGCACAAAACAGATTCTCCTCTAGAGCCTTCAGAGCGAGCTTGGTGCTGCTGACACTTTGATTGCAGACTTCCAGCATCCAAGACCACGAGAGAATGTATTTCTGCTGCTGAAGGCCATCTGTAAACTGTAATTTGTCATGACAGTCCTAGGAAATTTAACACACCTTCTGTGTCTCCATAGGACTTAGCCTGGGTCAAGGGTAAATTTCTTAATGTCACAGGGCCAAGAGATATCAGCCAGAGGTTGACAGATACTAGGGCAAACCTCCATTTCTAAGTGGAAATTGGGCATCTTCATTCACATTAAGTGTTGTTTTCAACTTGCACCCAGAGATACAGTAATTCAGTGCACTGTTATTACCAGGCTAAGATGTCCCAGGTCAAGTGCATCCAACAGGGAGAGAATTTTTGAAAAGGTGAAATGCTTTGTATGCAAATGTAGGAGATTTGGGATTGTCATAGACTACAGTCAATCTTAGCATCAGAGTATCTGATGTTTACTATATTTTCACTTTTTTTTTTCTATATTTTCACTTTTAAAAAGAAGTCAGTGTATTTTTTTTTTCTGGTGACAGGATGTGTCCATTTTGTGCACTAGGACTTTTTATTCATAGCAGTGTTGACACACAGTGATTTAATGTTCCCATCTCCACTGATTGATTTGGCACAAACAATGCATTTATGTGCCAATGAATAAGAAAGATCTACGTGACCTCTCCCTCCCCTCCCCTCTTCTCTCTCTCTCTCTCTCTCTCTCACTCACACACACACACACACACACACACACAGAGAGAGAAAATGTATCACTTTTAAAATATAAACAACTATTGAGAAAAAATTGAGTGGACTGATGAAATTAATACCCCACAGATTGTTCTCCAAGGGCTTAAGGTTGGGGATGTTCTCATTAGCCAAAATCTTGATGAAACTTAGAGATTTTCTATGGCTTTCAAATTTGGTTAGATTTTAAGTTTTGTAAAATTATTTGAAACATCACCGACGGTTTATATAAATCAGGCAAACACAGCTGCCCTGAGGAGTTGGTGGGTACGAAAAAGAACTGAAGTGGCCAGACCCTGTTCTTGCTGTGGGCCTTGTTTACACATGCAACAGACAGCTTCACCTCCATCAAGAGATGTGTTTTCTCACACTTCCCTTGAAAACCCAAGGCCCTGCTGAGATCACCTTTCATTTTCTCATCCTTGCAGAGGCATGAAAATAACATCATCTGGCCATCCTTTGAAGTCTACAAAGAGTAGCAACACGGCAAGCACCAGGCTGAGTGGCAGGGGGCTGAGGCCTCCAGCACTGACAAGGACCCAGAGGAAGGGGGGGGGGGCACAGACTCAGGTCCACCAGGTGCAACCCCAGCAGGGAGGTGCCCAGGTACTGGACAGCCTCGTGTTAAGTAGATGGCACACAAATCCCCCAGATTTCTCAACGTTAGAACTCAATCTCATTTTTTTTAATACACTAGGCAAAGCCATTTGAAGCCAAGTAAAGTGTGTCTGAGAGTTTCCTTAGCCAGTAGGCTGTTATGCTTACAACCTGTGGTAACAGGTGAATTTTTTCATTATTATTGTGGTAAAATCTGAGTAACATAAACCCAGTCACTTTAACTTTTTCTCAGTGTGTCATTCAGTGGCATGAAGTGTGTTCACGGTCCTGTGCAAACATCCCCACCAGCCTTTTCCAGGATAGTCTCATCGTCCCAAACAGAAGCTCTGTACTTACTAATGGTGTCTGTTTCTATCAATTTAAAAATGAACAAAGAGTTTGAAAAGGAAAGTGTCCCGAACGGTTACTGTTTGTTGTTTTAAAAAAAAGCCTTCAGACTTAGAGTCATCGTCTTCCAAAAACTCTCTGGCAGTAAATCCTGTGTGAGAGGAGTCAGGCCTCTCCAGAAATCCTCGCTCTCCACCCTCAGCTCCTAGCCCTTCCCAACCCCCCACACCACGTGACTCAACTCTGGACTCCATTACAGCATTGAAAACGCCTGCTCTGCGCTGAGGAGCTCTGCTGTACTCTCCACCTCCACTGCTCACTCTTGCCACCTTAGCTTCAGGAAAGCTGAAGGCTGCCTGCGAACACCACCTCCCCAGGGCCCTCCTAAGGGGCAACTGTTTGTGCTCCCCTCAGGGTCTGTGGCTGGGTCAACGTTCACCTACTTTCAGACATTCCAGCTGCTCCCTCTTAACTCTGCCCTCTCTTTGGAGATTTATACCCCTCAGTTGAACCACACTTTCCTTCTGCTTACTGTTATCATCTGGCACTTTCTCCTCCTGCATTTGGATTTCAATACTTGTGTTCTGCTTTCCAGTCCACCTCAAGTCCTGTCATCTTACATAGCTTCAGCTTCTACTGGATACCCTCCAAGATGCTGAGCTAGGGGCCTCCCTAGTGGTGCACGGGGTTAAGATGCAACCTGTGAAGCTACCCACAGTCACTGCAGCACGAGTTCAACCCCCGGCCAGCCAGGGAGCTGCCCACATGGCGCAGCAGACCTCTACTGTCTCGCCTGCTGCGCCCCTTAGCAGTGTATTCAGTCAGTCTGCCTGTTCTGCTCCCCACTCTCTCTGGTGGATACTCTCACCACCAGCACCTCTGGCCTGTACCCCAGCTCTTGTATGCATAAATAAATAAATCATTTTTTTAAAAAATGCTGAGCTATTCATTCATTGAATGCTTTTTCTCAGCAACCTATAAAAGGTATAAGACCAGACATCCCATTGTCAAATAAAACTGTTTTTACTCTCAGGTTAGGTAAGCTCCCTCCCCCACCAGCTTCTAGCTCACTAAGTCTCCAGCCCATAACACAGTATCTTTCTCTTTGCTGGTCTGACCTACTTCCCTTTATTTCTCTCTTTATTTAGACACTTGCAGACCCTCGGTGTAATTACTTCTGTGCAAACATGATATAGTACCCGTGCTTCGTTCTCCCGTCAAACACACTAAACCCAACCCTAGATGAACCCAACCATCTCTCTGTTCTTGTACCCAAACTAAAGCAAACACATAATAATTGAACTGATTGGTATCAATAAAAAGTCAACATTTCCAAGCTAAATATTGTTTGACAACCTAGTTATGTGTCTCCAAACTCAGTTGATCATATTCCTAAGTCCTTATTTTGCATTTCCCAGCTCTTATAAATTCATCTTTCACCTCCTCCCCCCAAAGAATCTACCACTAGTTTCAACCAATTTCACCTCCAAAATGAATCACCAAACCACGTACTTCCTCTCTTTCACTGCTACCCAAACCATCATCACCCCTCTAGTCTGGGTCAGCACAGTAGTCTTCGAAGGATTCTCCCTGTTACCTTATCACCTTGTCCGTGAATCCCCCACACAGTAGTCAGAGGGATACTTTAATAATGTTAATCAAATCAGGCAATTCACTTTCACTATTTGACATCAGTCCATGACTACTCAGTGCTTTTAGAATAAAATCTAAACCACTTTATATAACCCATTACCCTATGTGGTCTGGATAGTACCTACCACTCCATTTTCTTTTTTTTTTTTTTTCTTGCTCATTACATTCAGTCACACTCCTTTCAAGTTACCAAGATTTCCTTTCTCCTGTGTAGGCACATTGTCTTCTTTTTAATTTTTTTATTTATGCATACAAGAACTGGGGTACAGGCCAGAGGTATGGGCAGTGAGAGGATTCGCCAGAGAAGAGTGGGGAACAGAACAGGCAGACTGACGGAAATACACTGCTGAGGGGAGCAGCAGGCAAGTCAGGAGAGGTCTGCTGTGCCATGTGGGTAGCTCCCTGGCTAGGGATTGAACTCGTGCTGCAGTGGCTGTGGGTAGCTTCACAGGTTGCATCTTAACCCCTTGCGCCACAAGGGAGGCCCTCTTCTTTCCGCCTAGTGTGTCTCCCTGTCTCCTGCAGGCACTTCACTTTTCTTCACCTATACAACTTCTATTCATTCTTTTTTTTAAAGATTTATTTATGTTTGCATCAAGAACTGGGGTATAGGCTAGAGGTGCAGGGGTGAGAGGACTCACCAGAGACACAGTGGGGAGCAGAACAGATGGATCCACTGAAATACACTGCTGAGGAGAACAGAGGATGAGCCAGGAGAGGTCTGCTGCACCATGTGGGTCAGCTCCCTGGCTGGGGATCAAACTCACGCTGCAGTGGCTGGCGATACCTTGATAGTGCTGACTTTAACCTCTGCACCACCAGGGAGGCAGAACTTCTATTCATTCTCTAGGTCTCAGATTTAACAACTCAACTTTAAGGAGGTCTGCCCTGATCAACGCCATCTTTAAATTACGCCCCTTCTATTTTGTTCTCACATTATCAATGTATTTTTCTTTAGAGGACTTACATAGCCTCTTATTTCCATGTTCATTTCCTTAATTTTTGACTCCTGTATCACACCATCCATTCCTTGGGGGCACGAATTATATCGGACTTGATTTCCACTATGCACTAGCTCCTGACACAGTGCATTGTACATAATGATTATCCCAGAAGTATTTGTTAAATTAATGCTGACTTTCTGATCTGCCATCTGCAGTGGAACCAATGCCAAGATACAGATTTTTGTGAAAACCCTTACAGGGAAGACTATCACTCTCGAGGTTGAACCCTCAGATACAACAGACAATGTGAAAGCCAAGATCCAAGATGAGGAAGGAATTCGTCCTGATCAGCAAAGACTTATCTTTGCAGGCAAGCAACTGGAAAATGGACGACCTTTGACTACAATATTCAAA